GCACTGCATTAGTATTACAGTAGATGAAAAGATGGATACTTCTCACATTTTTTAACAAAGCCGTCTGCTATGGGCCCTCTGAAGTGCAGAGCAAGCACTGGGCCCAAGTCTGAGCGGTTGCTGAACAACCTGCCGGCTTCACTCCGGAGTGCCTGGAACCCACAGCTCTAACCCAGGCCCGTCAGTCCGGAGCGGCTCTAACCCACAGCTCTAACCCAGGCCCGTCAGTCCGGAGCGGCTCTAACCCACAGCTCTAACCCAGGCCCGTCAGTCCGGACCGGCTCTAACCCACAGCTCTAACCCAGGCCCGTCAGTCCGGACCGGCTCTAACCCACGTCTATCAAGCCAGAGTGGCTTCCTCTGATCAGCTCAAACCAACTGGATAAGAGGCAACAAATTGGGCTAAAAAACAAACAGTCAGCAGTGGTGAGAATGTACCCAGCAGGATGCATTAATAATACCAGTGATGCCTTTTAGCTGCAAAAGCCCAAAGAGGCAGACATTAGATAATGAACGGACATATGACGTTAATCAGTAGATTCTATTGTGAGGACCATCTGTTTTATTTTGTCTTTTGTTTGCACAAATACACATAAATTAATGAACATTTCACAATGTCCCTTTGCAACAGCCTGTGTACATTTGAATGCTATCTGTCCTTCCCTTATCTAACGTATGCCTCTTTGGGTTTATACAACTAAAATGAATCACTATTATTATTAATGCATCCTGCGGAATAACAGTTTCGGGGGTGGGTCAGGTATCACATGCATCATGCTTATCCGCTTACACTCTTAGTGGAATTCTGCTCGTGTCACATGATTTTAAAAAATGTCTTCAGTTATATGAGATGGTCAGCCCTTCACCTGACCACTGTACTACACATTCATTGATGATACGATGACTTATGTCAGAGCCTTCTCAACTCCATGTTCGATCATGTGACTGCCTTTCCTCCACATTCAGGCACCATGGATTTAAGGCTCCTCCCCCCAGTGTTTGTACCGGCATGTCCTACATTACGTTTGCTGAACTGGCACTTAGAGATGAGTTTTTTGTTAGGAATCAGAATTTGAGGCAGCATAATGACTGAGAAGATGGAATTCATGTCACAACATTTTATGGTTCAGTTTGCTTATGGACGTGAGCACACAGAATGTCACCTCCATCCCAGCCGCACACAGCGCTCCACCTTCAATCCACCTCCACCTCCATCCACCTCCA